ATATAACTTGGTGCTCTTAGTATTTCAAAGAAATGCAAGATACAAATGATCCAATAGTGTGTATTAACACACAATAAAGGTTAATACATCAAAATTACGCGAGACTGTAGACTGGCACGCGGAGTCTTGACACTTTCGTACATTTAAGATTTCCAAGCTGCGCTCGCGTAATCGCGATCGAGATCCACGTTCGGGATCCGCCTAAATCACCGGCTCCGCCCTACCCTCCTCTACGGGATCCTGCTATCCGCGGGATCTCGGATCACGATCGATCCAGGCGAATCGATACACGAGGCAAGTACTCGGGCAAGTATACTCGCGGAACTCGACTAATAGAGTTCGGGCCCTTGACAGCGATATTTCACGAGAACGAGAAGAGAAATGGCCGCGGACGGACGCGCCGGTGTGTGGTCCAGCACGTCCGAGTGGACGGCGATTAGCCCCAGGCCTCCTAATCCCTCCCTCACTCCCCCGTCGCTGATTTCACCCTCCGGGGCCAGGCTCCTTCCTCTTGCACGCACAGCCTCTTCCTCTTTCCCGCTCGAAGCTTAGCCTCATGCATCCACGTATCATCGCTTGCGTGTATGTTCGTATATGCGTGTGCGTTCGTGTATGACTTGTCTGTGTGTGCGTTTTGTGGTACGAGGATGTGTGTATGTACGCTCGTGCGCCTCCTCGGGTGTCGTGTTACGTGCTAAGCGGTACGGCCGAATGGTAACCGAGATGCGGACTGCACACCGGACCCATTGTTCCCGGGGCCTCCCTACGTCCCACCGTCTGCTCCCGCAGTCACCGCGTTCCCTTGTCCACCCCCGCTCATAGTAGCGCTCTTCTCGACTGACTCGAGAATGGGTCTTTTGGTTCGCAAGAGTGGGTCTTTTGGATTGATTTGCCCTTCGCCATCTCGCTTCCTCAGATCTTCACCGTCTCTTGATTCCATCAGATATCAATACTGTATGCGATAAAATATTGCGGTCACCGGATGTTACTACTGCATTTTGCAAAGAATATATAACGGCGATCTTAACATTTCAACAGAGGCGAAATCGATTAAAAACCATTTTTTTTACTGATTTTACTCAAAAATATTTTGTAAATGAAGAATCTATTGATATACTCTATTGACATACACAGATATACATCGATGTATACTCTTTATAGAAATACTATACTTCAGTGTTCAATATTACATACACATTTTCATCTTCAATGAACTAACTATTAATGAACTAACCCAAGAAGATTAAGTTAAATCGGTTTTTTTTTTGTAATAACGATAGAAATAAAAACGTTTTTGCATGATATAACTTTGGATAGCAACAACATCACGGTTTTGTATAATTATTCATTCCAAAAGTATGCTATGGTTTATAATATTTCAGCTGTCATATTTAGTCCTCAGAAAATTCTCTAAAATTATTTCAAATCCCAACTTCGCCCACACACATATGTATACGCATAGAACTGTAATATAAAGATATAGAATAATTAAAGATCTTGCTAGAATCGTTGCGATTGAGTCCCTTCTGGCAGACCTCATTTCTCGCAACTCTCTTATTTTTCGTGGACCGGGTCTCGCACAGTCACGGTGGTTTTGCCTCGCCCTCGCACCACGGTTTTACGACCTTACGAGTCGGGGCTCTCGTCGACGTGCCGGCTCGCAACTACCGAACGAACCCTTCTCTCCTTGACTGGGTGTCGCCTGCCCTGGTGACCTCCGAGGTAACTAGACCCGCGAGAGTCAGCCCCCTCCCCTCTCCCCTTCCCCCGGCTTCAGTCCATGGAGACAGAATCATTACGGGTGCCATTTGGGATTGAATTGTATAGTCCCGACGACGTCGGTCGCGCGAGATGATGAAGTGCTTCGCGCCAAATGTCCCACGAATGACGATTATTCGACATAACAAACAATTTTCTACTCGAGAAACATTAATCTCTCTTCTATTTTCTTTTTTATAACTTTCTATGAGATAATAATTTTTTATCATAATAATCTTGTTGAGATTAATCTTGTCTCTGTCACGTTTCTTTTTTTGACACATTTTGTGTGTCTCTTTAATCGTATTCATGATCTATGTAAATTTTATTATGTTAGACTATTTTTTACAACAATTAATTTACGATTATTTTATTATTTTATGACTATTTTTACAACGATTAAACTTATGTACATATAAGTACTTATATTTATATCATATATATGAGATTTATATAATTTATATAAATATAATGTTATTTATATCATATACGAGAGTGTGGATTGAAGACATGGCCTAAAGTTCTAAGGACGGGAACAAATATGTTTCGGAACCTTTTTATTATGCACGCCCCTAAATTATTTCATGCACGAAATGCTGAGTTATCGAACGCCAGTTATGAATAAAGGCGTCTTCAAATGTCTCGGCGGACGCTGGTTCGCGGAACTGGATGATCGATAAGAGATATTATTCGTGGGCGGCCCATGCTCAAATTATCCGACAGGATACTAGTATCAAGTTGTCTTTCAACCACTTGACTTTCGAAAAGCGCGAAGAACCGGCAGCCATTCATCGACGCTGCCTTCGTTCAAGATGTGAGATCAAGTGGACATCAAAACTTTTGGCAAATTATTTAATTTGAAAAGATGTTAGAAATACGCAGAATGCATTTTCTAGCTGTTTAACAGATATTGATTTTAATTTTAATAGAAAGAGGACGACACGTTTTTCTTATAGTGTTCTTTTTAAATAAAATATTGATTAAATTTTAGATTGATAAATTGACTAATTCTACATTATTAGACATTCATTGAAATTTTGGTTCATCCTTTTATATTCTTTCTAAAATTATCAAGATGTTATTACATTATCATTACAAGCTGACGCTAGTTATTCGTGTGTATAATAACTTTAATTTGCAATGGGTAAATTAAACATTTCGATTCACATTTAGGTCATCTTCAGTACAAATAAAAAATTACAAAAATGTATATAATTATAGAAATAACGCCGTACAATTACGTGAAATCCGTATCTTGTACATTAAGATATTTTATAGTACTACAGATGTCTTTGTTTGATTTCACATATACACGTTGTGATGTCTCGAATTATATATGAATATCTTTTTAAATATAAACAATTATAATACAATTATAAGTATGTATTAGGCCAACGAGAATAAATCAATTAAGAGAAATAAATTTATTTTCGATCAAAACGGCTCTTACAATTAGTGATTAAATTTAAGCACTAAAATCTGTTTTGACCAAAAATAGATTTATTTCTCTTGATTAGTTTTTAAATATGTTAAGAATTTCTTTGGCTTAATAAGTCTAATAAAGATTGGTCAAGAACTAAAATAGTAATAAATATTTGAAACAATTAAAACAATATATCTATAGGAATGTCATTTGATGGGCACAATAGATCTGTGATAAAAATATAGAAAATTGTTTTTGTTTAAGTTCTATGGATTTATACAAGTCAGAAAGAAGACGATAAAAGAAGCATCATTCAGTTAAGAAATCAAACGAGTATAAAATTCAAGTAACGATTATTGATTTGAGTTTTGCTAATCGAAACAAAATAAAGTCTATCTAGCGTCAAGCCGATTTGACTCGTCCGCTTTAAATGGCAGAAAACGACTGGGACTCCTTCAGGCCACGCTAAGTCGAGAATCCATCAAGCATTCGCTCCTACGATCTTTGGCTTTGCGCAATCGGTCTTACCTCGCCGGGCTTGAAATCAAAAGCAATTACGAAGCGCCGCCTCGCGTCTCGGATTCGCGATATCGTAATGAAGCCTTAATAATTGAGATAGACCGGCCGATAATCGGCGTGTCCCTACACGCCGCTCCCGCGCGTAATCACGAAAGTAGGAAGTGACTCGCCGTGATTCCGTGCGCAATGAGACTTGGTCGTTAATTATCGTCGACGTAAAGGGAGAGAGAAAGAGAAAGAGAGAAGGGGAAAGAGGAAGAAAGAGATACAGAATGACCCTCTCATCATTCGCGACGCGTTTTCATCCATGATCAGCCAATAATCCGCTCGTTAGCGTTTCTGCCGCGATAGTAACGAAGCAACGAAGGCGCGTCCGCGCACAATCGCGCGTAATTAACCCTAATTAAGCCCATGCCTAACGCACGAAATCATCCATCACATTTGTTGCTTTGGGGGAGAAAGAGATTCTCGCGATCGTCATTGCCCTCCTCTCTCACTCCTACCTCATCTTGTGCGTACGTCTCTCTATGAGAGGAAAGCTCATCTTAATTACCCGCCATTCTCTCTCTGTCTTGTCTCTCTGTCGACTCTGTGTCCGTGAAGGAATCTCATTGATTTACTCCCTTTTAAGTGCTATTAATGCCGATAACGTCGATCGATTAATCAGCCAACCGGCGAGGGCCGCCTCTCTCGCCTTAAGAACGGACGATTTTATCTCGCTCTGTCTCGCGTTCCCGCGGCTTCAGACGATTTATTTGCTCGCCCGACGCGATCTTTGCCGTTTCGGTCGATTCGCCGCGTGCAGGATCGCGACCTCTCGGTCATACGATTGCGCGGCCGCTCGATCGGTTTCTCATCTAATCCCGGTGCCCAGCGAGCGCCGATTCCCAGACGACTCGTGTGCTAAATTTTATAGATGAAGTCTTTTATCTGACTGCCTATTCGATTATTCCGTTAATATTATTAATGACGAGCGGTGAGGATTTCTCTCTCACTTAATATCTTCGGCAAAAATACATTTGGACATTGCATGCAGAAGTACTGCGATTTGTAATATATATTTCAAAAAAGGTAATAATATTTGAGAGTCTGACTTCCTATCCTATGTCTATTGAGGGGATCTAATACAACTTGTTCTTGTATACGAGAATCATATTTAACCTAAAGTAATTGAAGGAAATTCTTTTCTACTTGCGATGCAAAATTGGGAAGGAAAGAATTAAGCGATCTATCCTAGACATCAAACGTATCTGACCCATCTATTCTACGCTAACGATATCTCTTCCTCTGTCTATTTCAGAGATCCTATGGAAATTATGGAACAGCAACTGATGAGATGCGGCGTACCCCCGGTAAGAATCTACGAACACCTTGCTATGTCGTCGCAGGTGGTGGCCGCAACGTTGGGTGCTCAGCAGCAACAGCCGCAGCAGCAACATCATCAGCCACCATCCGCGCAACAGCAGCAACAGCATGAGAGCAGCGGACATGCGTTATCGTCCTGGCTGGCGCCAGTATCAACACCGCTCTTATACGGTAGGGGTGCAGCCAGTTCTCCATCACTCTACTCCAACGCAGCTATTACTGCCACCCCCAGTTTCCCATATTCGCCGCTGGCGTGGCCCTGGCAACCACCCACCGTCGCGATGATCTCGCGACGGTCCCCCACCAACCTGAGGTACGCGCCCTATCCCACACGGGTCAGCTCACCCTCGGGGATACGGACACGCCCGCCCTCCCCTAATTAGCGATCCCCGCTGGCGCTGGCGACTCGACGACTGCGGCATCATCCCTCTTCCCTCTCTCTGTGATTATGGAACATTGACATCGGAACTGAAATCGAAATTGTCCTGACACGTTTTTATTTCGTCAGGAGCGCGATGGCGCGTGTACCATTGTACGCGTGTATCATTGTCGACAGATCTGATCACGGATGGCAATATAGAGTAAGTGACATCTCGTTGCGTTGTTATTACAGTGATAAACAAATATGGGATTCGGGATAAAAGTGATTATTAACTGTAAATTAGAATAATATTGAATTGTGCAATTGGAGCAAAAACACTGGATGTAGCTTTATTGTATGATACGATTACATGTTCTTTCGAGCCTTTGTTATATTTTTTAAGTTGGAAAATTAAGCTTATTTATATTTGCCATCTTAAAGAATTATTTTTCTAATGTTATCTTATGAGGTTATCTTATCCCAATTATTTGACTTCAAACGAGGTTTAAATACTTTCTCTCTCACTCTCTTTCGCTCTCTAAAATCGAGAGATACATATATATATATATATATATATACTATAGTATATATATAAAGGGGAAGAATTTTAAGCCTCGCTTAAAGTTAAAATAACATTAGTGCAATGGCCTGAAAGATATTGTATTAATTTAACTAAATAGTTTCAAAACAATAATATACATCCGAGGCAAAATTATTATAACTAAACTAATAATTCAATTTTAATCTTTCAGGGTTTTATTAAAATTATTAATTGGTTATTATATTATGTAATTATTATATGTTAAAAAAGGTAATTTATGTTGAATATATGTACTTACTTCTGGAACATGATGTTTGACATAAATATATCTTTTTTGTTCATTAATAATTTTTAGAATTATTATCATGTTACTGATTATAATTTTATTATGTTGTTTATTAGTAATATACTAATAGTTTCATTAAAGGAATTAAATATTATTAAAGAAATTAATATTTAACATTTTTAGGCCAAAACTTGTTTGGAAAAGAACTAAAAATAATAATCGAATCTATGATTTTTCCTTGATTCCTCATATTCTTAGTGATGTCACTTACAATTAGTCCTATATCACGTATGTATTTACAAGGGAGAAATCGAAAATGATGTCGCAGTATGTCGTTTGTGACTGCGAGCTTAAGCGTGTGTGCTGTTCTTAACATTCGTGTTTTTCCTTCGCACATAAGTGCATCCAAAGAAGAATGTACCTAGCGTCAGTGTGTAATTAATCACAGATTAACACTCTGAGTACTAGGGTATGTATGTGTGCGAGCGTACGTGCGTGCGTGCATATGTGCGTGCGTGTGCGTGGGTGCATGTAACGCGTAAATATTTATATAATATTAAATAAATGTAATTCTATGTATACATGTCGTTCCATTAATGTGCACGGGGCGAACATATTGATGGCAGCACTGTTAGATATGAAAGGAGCAATGATAGCCCAATCCCTTGAATTAAATAACATTTTATTATTTCCGACTTCCATGTGTGTCAAAGTGTAAATCAATTCATTTTTATGATTTATAGTTTCAAAGTTAAATGTCGTTCATATTAACGTACGCATTTAGTAAATAATAATAACTTTGATATAATAATTTTGACTCAAATTTAATACATTTTCTTAAGTTAAATTGTTTAACTTCATTATTTTAACAAATTAACGATATTGAATAAGAGTAGCGATTTATAGAAATGGTTCAAAATACTGAAATTGGGTATAATTTGATATAATGAATTTAACAGTGTAAAGTTTTGTACCAATAATATGGACTATTCCATATTAAAAATATTCAAGTACATGTAATGGAAGGCATCCCGAGAAATTACAGAACTGAATATGCGTAAGTTTATGTGCATAATCGTTCATGTAAAAATTCTAAATATCTCGATATTGGAATGAATCTGATTGTGGATTGTGTTCAATAAGCAACGGAATCATATATTGAGATATCCAAAGATATACAGGGAAATCTAAGTATTTGGATACTCGAAAGTCGAATTTATTTGCAAGAATCACAAGCGTTTCAGCGTCACCATAAATTTCGACGATTCGCTGTATGTGTGAATGATTTAGCGGAAGAGGTCTTATTCTTGTAAAATATCGTGTACAAAAATACTGTATACGTTACGTATTATAGATTTTTATATGCAATATAAATTCAAGAATACAGACTCAGGATATGCCTCGCCTCGTGTTCGCGTAATATCTCATTATTGTAAAGATTTGCGCGTATCACAGAGAATCGCGAAATATGCGAATCTTCATATTCTTGTTTTCAACCTCGACTTGTAAATATTTTACGCTCATTAAAACGGACAAATATCTGTTGTAACGTGATAATTGCGTGTGCATGCATGCATGTATGTATGTATGTATGTATGCTTGAATGCTAGCCATGTAAATGCGAGGAAGTGTGAAATCATGCGTGAGAGTACGATAACTGTATTATATACCGCGATAGTATTAACGCGCGTCTTGTCAAGACGATGCAGATTTGTACATAAAGAAACATCTTATAGTAGCGAGTAGTACAGCTCCGTATTTCATCGATGTAGCACGACGAAAATAAACGCATTTTCATTAATCGGCTCTAATCATTCAATCGCCTGTACTTTTTGCGTTTTTTATCCAGGCCTTATAACTGCTTCGTGAGGATGAACTTTTATCGATCTTTTTATTATTTATATTTTTTGTAGGTTTTACAAATAAGTTATTTATCATTATTGAAAATATTTAGTTAAAATTGCATATTTCTTTTTGATTCAAACCTTAATAAGCGTTATCCTTAAAATTTTACAAAAAAATCGAGATATCACCTAGATATCTCTATAGAGATATTCCTATTACAATAAAAATAAATTTCTATTATGATATTAGAAGAAATCACCAATACTGTCATAGACACTCCTTATTTTTCGGAAACTTGCACTTTAGATTAATAAAAATATACTGTTTAGATAATTAAAGAAGTAAGAGTTCATAATTCATATATTTCTAGTTTACTTTTATACAAAATCAACTAAAAACAAATTCTAAAAAGTTTTACTTTCAATCTTCGTTTAAGAAATACTGTCCAAAACGAAGTATTATGTCAGTGTATCAGTGACTTTCCTCTATAATAAAATTCGTCAAAATTAATTATTATGTATCAATTTGATGTAAGATATTTATACAAACAAAATACGTTTTATTACATTCTGTACATCATATAAGAAAAAGTTAATAGTAGCAGGTTATCTTTTTTTGATTCTCTTTAATTTGATTTTGATTCAAATTCTCGAACATCGCAAGAGAACATATAATCAGTTTTATCATATCTGTTTTTTATCGATCAAAGAACTCGTAGATTTTCGTACATTTTGCATTCATTTCGCGAACGATTCGAGAATAGAACCGCGCGTTTTCTTCCGTCACCTATTCTTACTCCTCTCAATGTACGTCCTCGTCGCGCCACCCAAGCTTCATCGCACTTTCAACTGCCGTGTAATTCTGTTATACCTATCTGAAATTAAATAAATTCATTTCACGGCCTGTCAGCGAGCAATTATTCTCAGATGCGGCCGCTTTAAGGGCTCGATTCGTTCCATGACTAACACCTTTTCTCACTCTTATTTCCTCTCTCTTCCTCTTGTTCTTTCTTTCTGTCACTCGAACTCTCAGTTCAGCATCGGGAGCATGTCGCTATCGCCGTATCGTATTGTACAGTCCTCGTCATTGCGACGGTCACTTCACGTCGCGTCGTTGGGCGCGTCGGGTCGCTGCACCACAACTGTTTCGCGCGATCGAGCGCAGCCGCGACGACATGAGTTGCCCTTTAACCCTCGTTTAAATGCGAAACGAAATATGAAGCGTCGAATCAGATGCCAATAACGAAAATACACATTGTTTTATAATATAAGTATATGATGATACTTTTAACCGTAGCAGGTAACTCAATTAGAAAAAGGACAACGCGATCAAGTTAATTGACATAAAGTGCATTACCTATAATTTTCCATTCCGTGTCAGCATATGTTTTATTGTATAAACGAATTATATAGAATATTTGAAATATTAGAAATATCCAACTTTAATAATTGGAAACCATAAAGTTATCACTAAAAAGACAAAGTTGCATCTGCGAAGATAACGATCCCGGTATATCTTTCTCGGTACTTGATAAAAACAGGCAAATCTAAAATCCTCACCAACCTCACGGAGAATAGCTTAATAATATCCTTTTTTTTTTATTCGGAAAAACAAGAAAACCAAGGTTGAACATCTAAATTGCACGTAGGGCGTTCACCAATTACTCCGAAGACATTCAACGAGTACTCGAGAGAGTCTTTTAAGGACCCGTTGAATCAGCGACGAGGAAGACGCGGCGGCTAGATAGAAGGTATCCACGGTCGGAAGAAACGCGAAAGAAGCAGAAGACGGCGAAGAAGAAGAAGAAGAAGAAGACAACGGAGGTTTCGCCGGGGCGCGAAAGCGATCGTGTGTTACGTCGTGATGGGTGGAGCGAGGTGAGAGAAACAGAGAGGCGGCTCCCGAGCTTGTAATTATGTTGATACGAATGATCTGCGGCTCGCCGCAGACCGACGAAGAGCAACAGGAGAAGAGGTGGAGAAGAAAGCGAAGAAGAAAAGGAAGGATACGAGCAGAAGGAGGAGAAGAAAGAAAAGGAGAAGAGAGGGTGAGCAGCCTCTAGCAATGCTTACCGGCTGCTCTGTGTACCCCCCATTTCTTCTTTCTTTTTCTCGCTCTTCCTGCCTTTTTCTCCCTCTCTCTCTCTCTCATTGGTTACTTTCTTCCCCTCATTTTCTCCTCACGTCCTTCTTTCCTTGACACTGTGTATAACGTTCTCTCTGTGCATCTACCCGCACGCATTGCTCATCCCCGTGATGGGAGAGAGAGAGAGAGAGAGAGAGAGAGAGAGAGAGAGAGAGAGAGGACCAGACTTTAGGACCGTGGCGAAACCAGTTTAAGTGGTTAAGTGTAGATGTAATTGATTTCCATTTTACGAGGCTCTCTCGGGGAAGACGCTCCTCCACCCGCTGCGCAGCATCCACCCCCACCCCCGAGCAGTTGCAGCCTGTCCTGCATCCGCACGTCTCTCCCTCTCTCGCTCTCTTTCTCTTTTGCACCGCATCTTCCGCCTCACACTCTATCTCTTCCTCTTGACAACTATACTTTTATTATCCTCTTTCTTGTGCCAGCCGCACACGCGTGCGACGCATACGCGCACAACATCGAACGCATAAATACGCATTATAATGTATCGGCGGGTGCCCCTCCGACGAGAGAGCGGCCTTGCCGGGCATAATCGTTTTCTCACGCCTCGTTCCGC